TCTATCTAGACACTAGCTTAAAGGAGAGATACCATTAGATCTTCCCTTCACAACATTCGATAATCTATCTTAGACGCTAGGTTAAAGGAGAGATACCATTAAATCCCCCCTCACAACATATGATAATCTATCTTAGACACTAGCTTAAAGGAGAGATACCATTAGATCTTCCCTTCACAACATTCGATAATCTATCTTAGACACTAGGTTAAAGGAGAGATACCATTAGATCTTCCCTTCACAACATTCGATAATCTATCTTAGACACTAGCTTAAAGGAGAGATACCATTAGATCTTCCCTTCACAACATTCGATAATCTATCTTAGACGCTAGGTTAAAGGAGAGATACCATTAAATCCTCCCTCACAACATATGATAATCTATCTTAGACACTAGGCTAAAGGAGAGTTACTATTAGACCCCCCTCCTTTCACAACATCTAATAATCTCTCTTAGTCTAGATATTTCAAGGAGAAATATCAATAACCCCCCCTCAACGTATGTACTAAACGGCGAGATATTGTTGGCTATAAACCATGACAACATGTTAATATTACTAGCTGACGTTAAAGAAGTATAAAGAACAATGTTAGTGTTCCTCTTCTATTGTTATTAAATCCCTAGTGACCTCCTTAGATACTAATTGTACACCATGATCTGTAGAATGTGACAATTTATTAATTTAACTGATTAAGTTGGTGTGTCTTTAAATTCAAAGTCAAAAGTTTATAAATAGTGGAAATATACCATATTTCAGGGTATATCTTATTGCACTTCTCGGGCAAAAGCTCTTAAACAAAGTAACCCATGTACATTGTTGGACAGTTTTCAGTTACGGTAATCGAACCAATTAATACACACAAATAATGGATCATCATTATAGTTCAGATCTATATATTTGAAATTCTGTGTTATGTGTTAACAGGTGACTAAGTTTTTTTTTATATTATAAGAACGTCTCGAACATGTGGAAAGTTTTCTGGTTGAATAAGAAATTCACTTCTTTGTAGTAACTGCTGTGACACAAAATGTTGTGACTTGAAATATTGACTCGAAATGCTGCGACTTGAAACGTTGCGATTTGAAGAGCTGTGACTTGATATTCTGGAACTTGAAATGTTGTGATTTGAGGTGTTGTCACTCGAAGTGCTGTGACTTGAAACGTCAAATGCTATTGAATTTTGTAAATATATTCTGTACAATTCCGCGGCGTAAGGTTTAGTTTAGCTGTTTCCCTTCTGTTCTATTGTTGCCTTATCTATGAAGAAAGACTGTTAAAATGTTGACAAGAATGACGGTCTAACCTTCTTCTTTTTGTCAAAACCTGTTTAAGAATGTAAATTTCAACACAATAACGTTTCTATCACATGACAGCACTAATATTCTGAAACCATGATCTAATAAATATAAAATTTGGAAATCATAATTTTCTAAAATGCTTTTTTGTTATATTTTTTCAATTTCCTACAAGTTTCAGGTCTAAACCCCGAAAATGAGGATGAACTCAAATCTATAAACCGATTCATCACTTACAAATGTGCCATACCTGATTCAGAGAACTCTACTCATGAACAGTCAAAGGCAGATCGGAAAAACAACATTAGGAATTCTCTAATGAATATATATATATATATAGTATTGTAGATATATGTTACTCACGAGTAATCCTTTTATTAAATGGTATTCGAAGAATATGTAGCAATGATGCTACTAACCTATTTTTTTAAATTATTCAGCAGACAAACTGTTTATTTAAGACACTGATATGAATATAAAACCATGTCTAAAATCCAGTCCACCACTTATTTCCGATTGTACTGGATTCGGGGAATCCCACTGGTAACTCTGGAAAGTTTCATCACGTAAAATGACTAGGAACACTTGTATATATATGATGTAATGATAACATAAACTTAAAACACTTGACAATTTGAGTATATATGATATAATGATAACATAGACTTGGAACACTTAGAAACTTGTGTAAATATAAAATATAATGATAACATAAACTAGGAACACTTAGAACTTGTGTATCTATGACATATGATAACATGGACTTGGAACACTTGGTAACTTGTGTATATATGATGTGATGAACACATAGACTAGGAACACTTAGCAACTTGTGTATATATAATATAATGATAACATAGACTAGGAACAATAAGCAACTTATGTATATATGATATAATGATAACATAGATTAGGAACACTAAGCAACTTGTGTATGTATACGATGTAATGATATCACAGACTAGGAACATTTAACAACTTGTTTATATATGATGTAATGATAACATAGACTAAGAATACTTAACAACTTGTGTATATGTATATAATATAATGATAACATAGACTAGGAACACTTAGCAACTTGTGTATATATGATATAATGATAACATAGACTAGGAACACTTAGAAACTTGTGTATATATATGATATAATGATAACATAGACTAGGAACACTTAGCAACTTGTGTATATATGATGTAATGATAACATAGGCTAGGAACAATTAACAACTTGTGTAGATGTGATATAATGATAACATAGACTATGAACACTTAGCAACCTGTGTTTATATGATGTAATGATAACATAGACTAGGAACATTCAACAACTTGATATAATGATATATATGATATAATGATAACATAGACTAAGAACACTTAGCAACTTCTGTGTTTATGATATAATGATAAAATAGACTAGGAACACGTAACAACCTGTGTATATATGATGTAACGATAACATAGACTAGGAACAGTTAACTATATGTGTATGTATGATATAATGATAACATAGACTAGGAACTATTAACAACTTGTGTATATATATGATGTAATGATAACAGAGACTAAGAACACTCAACAACTTGTGTGTTAATATGATATAATGATAACAAAACTAGGAACACTTAAAAAGTTGTGTTTATATGATACAATGACAACATAGAGTGCTAACACTTAACACCTTGTATATATATATATGATATAATGATAACATAGACTAGGAACACTTAGCAACCTGTGTATATATGATATAATGATAACATAGACTAGGAACACTTAGAAACTTTTGTATATATGATGTAATGATAACATAGATTAGGAACAATTAACAACTTGTGTAGATGTGATATAATGATAACATAGACTGGGAACAGTTAGCAACTTATGAGACAATGTTTCAGAGACTAGGAATACTGAACGACTTGTGTATATATGATGTAATGATAACATAGACTAGAAACACTTAGCAACCTGTGTATATATGATATAATGATAACAAAAACTAGGAACACTTAGCAACCTATGTATATATGATTTAATGATAACATTGATTAGGAACACTTAGCAGTTTGTGTATATATGATATAATGATAATATAGACTAGCAACACTTAAAAACTTAGTGTGTATATATATATATATGATATAATGATAACATAGACTAGGAACACTTAGCAACCTGTGTATATATGATACAATGATAGCATAGACTAGGAACACTTAGCAACCTGTGTATATATGATATAATAATAACATAGACTAGGAACACTTAGAAACTTGTGTATATATGATGTAATGATAACATACATTAGGAACACTTAAAAGCTTGTGTGTATATATATGATATAATGATAACATAGACTAGGAACACTTAACAACTTGTGTATATGTATGATATAATGATAACACAGACTACGAATACTTAACAGTTTCTGTATATATATGGTATAAGGATAACATAGACTAAGATACTTAACAACTTGTGTATATTTTATGAAATAATGATAACAACAACTAGGAACACTTAACAAGTTGTGTATATATACGATATAATGATAACATAGACTGGAAACACTTAACAACTTGTGTAGATATATGATATAATGATAACATAGACTAGGAACACTTAGCAACCTGTGTATATATGATGTAATGATAACACAGACTAGGAACACTTAGCAACCTATGTATATATGATGTAATGATAACATAGATTAGGAACAATTAACAACTTGTGTATATATGATATAATGATAACATAGATTAGGAACAATTAACAACTTGTGTATATATGATATAATGATAACATAGACTGGAAACACTTAAAACTCGTGTATAATATGATATAATGATAACATAAACTAGGAACACTTAGCAACCTGTGTATATATGATGTAATGATAACACAGACTAGGAACACTTAGCAACCTTGTTATCATTACATCATATATACATGAGACTAGGAACACTTAGCAAGGGGTGTATATATGATTTAATGATAACATAAACTAGAAACACTTAAAAAGTTGTGTTTATATGATATAATGATAACATAGACTGCTAACACTTAACAACTTGTGTATATATATATGATATAATGATAACAGAGACTAGGAACACTTAGCAAGGGGTGTATATATGATTTAATGATAACATAAACTAGAAACACTTAAAAAGTTGTGTTTATATGATATAATGATAACATAGACTGCTAACACTTAGAAACTTGTATATATATATATGATATAATGATAACATAGACTAGGAACACTTAGCAACCTGTGTATATATGATATAATGATAACACAGACTAGGAACACTTAGCAACTTGTGTATATATATATATGATGCAATGATAACATAGACTAGGAACACTTAGCAACCTGTGTATATATGATATAATGTTCAGAGTATGGGATACATAAAATACATCGAAGTTGTGATAGTAGATAATACACCTTAAACAATAAAAACGAAGTTAAACACTAAAACACTGCATAGAGGTTCCTGCTATTATATATATATTCTTATAGTTTAAATTAAAATTCTATATCTTCATAAATAAAGTTATAAAGCGTGAAGTATATGTGAAGGATACAAGCCTTAGATATTGTTTGATTTTTAACACTCTGTTAATGCCATATTCAAATTTCTCTCTCAGTAGTAAAAGTTCAGTGCGTAAGTTGGTGTGAAATCGGAGAAAGCTTCCGAAAATGGACCAGCAGACAATTAGTTTGATGACCATATTTTCTCTTCTTTCATTGGCTCTTAGTCGGCACTTGCAGCCTCTTCGAGTACATCGTGATACGATGGTAAGTAAAAGTGTTAGGTATTTTTTTTTTTAGCTTATAAAGGATATTTTAAGCATCACTTAGCCTACAAGTCAGGAGGTTGGGTAATCCCTACTAACCTAACGTTGATTTCTAGAGCACAGTGCCTAAAAACAAATATAGCTTTTCTCGAAGCGAATGAATTAGACAGTAATATCTGGAGCGTTTCAATTACCAGGATTATCTATCTCTGCTCTAGAGTGAGCCAAAGTTGTGTATGAATTTTTGAAAAAACAAAACAAACAAACTTTTTTTTATATTTTGCGCATAAAATATATTTTAAGTATATATATTTTTAATTCATTTTCACGAAATTTAATATCATGACAGGATTGAACTGTGAGAAGTCAGTATAACCGTGTTATTCATTTTAATGTTGTTCAGAAATGAATTTTTATTTTCATATAAAAGAATCGCGTTCATTTGGAATATTTTTTTCAGGTTATATTTAATAGATATACAGCTATTTTTTGATATCGCTGAAATACCTACTCCCTAGTAGACACAAAATATAGTCACAATAGCCTTGCCTCCCCACCCACTATGGCTCAGCAGACTTACGACGATAAATATCGACTTTCGATACCTGTGATGTGCAGAGCACAGATTCCATTTTGTAGATTTGACCTTAGCAACAGCGGCAAAAATAGTTTTATCTTCGCTCTCGTAGCGCCATCTATTGCTATTTTCTGAGTAAGTAGAATTACGGAAAAAGGAACGAAAGAAAACAACTACGATTATATACGGCTGTTGCGTATCTGCTTGTTTGTTAATTTCCGGTAGAAATTATTTCCCAGGAACGTCAGCGATACAACTCCTATCTTGATTAAACCAGTTTATTCTTCCTCGATACAAACTTTTAGTACACAGTAATTTCACAATCAGTACGTTTCTCGTCACTTTAAACTTAACTACTTTTATAATACACCCTATAAATCACAGCGATTCACAATCTTGAAAATTTCGCTTTCTACGAGTGTAAAACACTAGCTTGAAACAGAATCGTACATTACCCGGAACTCTCTTCATTCATCCATTAATTGTTGGCTTTCTCTGCCAGGCTTAAATACCAACGAAGGGGGCGTCTCGAATACACTCGGGCCTCCCCGATCATTCATGATCATTCGAGAAATTCAAGCACGCATGCGCTAGCAGCATAACGTGACTTCCGTTGTCGTAACACGGCATTTACAGATAACAAGTAAAAAACTACCCAAAGGATGACGATTAATAATGTAACGTAAACAGATTATTAATATCAAGTAATATTTAACCATGAGCCACTTATAGAGTATCAAGTTTGATTTACCCATTAGTCTACTGGTTTGCTTTGTTTAAAACTACGTGCAAATCTACACGAGAGCTATCTGGGCTAATCGTCTCTAATTTAGCAGTGAAAGACTAGAGGGAAGGCAGCTAATCGTCACCACCCACCGCCGACTCTTTGGCTACTCTTTGACAGAATAGTGGGATTGGTTGTAACATTATAACGCTTCCAATGCTGAAGGGACGAGCATGTTTGGTGGGACGTGAATTCGAACCCGCGACCAAGTCTACTAGTACTCGAGATACGAGATTTTGAAACAGCCGTATGCGACATAATTCGTTTTGATTTTTAAGCAACGTTGGATGAACACTATTCTTTGTTTGTTTTAGAATAAAGCCACATTGAGCTATCTGTTTTAGCGTTGTAAGCCTCTAAACTTACCCCCGGAGACATTTAAATGCACGTAAACAGGACGCCCACCTTTAGAAACTAACAGAAATTTTAAATGAATGAAAAACAAAGTTGTAACATCACATTTAGATGAGATGATTAGGCTAACATACATAAAAATATGTGTAATATTTATATTATTCTGGCTAAAATCACGGGTTAAAATACATAGTTTTTAATTGTTATATATCAGTTGATCACAAATGTTTCTTCTCACTAGATGTCACGAATATTTTTTCTTTTTTTCAGGCTGAACCAGTGTCGCAAGAAGACTTAAAAATCGGTATGATTTTTTTTTTTCAGTGGTAGAGTTTACTTTTCATACAGACTGGATTCAACTGAGTAAATCAGTTCTTTTATTTTTCTTGTATATTCTAATATATGTTAATATGATTCAGCAGTACCCTAAAGCATAATTTGTAAACATAAAAGATTGAGAGTTATGAACATTACCAGTAGTGTCAATAAACACTACATTGAACTTTCATTTAATAATAAGTAAATTAATTTTATAAAGTTCTACTTTTAAACTTAAAAATGTTTGCAATGGTTTTATGTCATCAGTTATAAATATTAGGACGATTGTAGATAAGATAAGTAATAATAACCAGGTGCACACTCTCAGGGTCCATTAGTATGGGTGCAAAATTTCAGGTCTCTAGGTTCTTTCTTCTTGAGGCTATGGCTGTTTGTTTGTTTGTTTTTGAATTTCGCGCAAAGCTACACGAGGGCTATCTGCGCTAGCCATCCCTAATTTAGCAGTGTAAGACTAGAGGGAAGGCAGCTAGTCATCACCACCCACCGCCAACTCTTGGGCTACTCTTTTACCAACGAATAATGGGATTGACCGTCACTTTATAACGCCCCCACGGCTGAAAGGGCGAGCATGTTTGGTGTGACAGGGATAGGCTATGGCGGTCACACATACAAAGACACGCATTTGCACACGTGCACGCACACAACTGTGTGTCTGTCTATCTGTCTGTGATTGATATTTGTAATATAAGGAACTACTTATTTTCTATATAGTTTTTCGCTAGCTTGCCTCATTAAAAAGATAAGTGATAAAAACCAGGTGCACACGCTCAAGGTCCACTAAGTATGGGTGCAAAATTTCAGGTTTTTAAGTTGTTTTCTTTTGGAGCTATGGTGGGCGCATTTCTTTTCTATGTGATCTTTTTACATAAAATGATGCGCAAGCGCATGCACGTAGATAAATAAAAATATCCTGTTGCAAACCCTCAGGGACCACTTAAAATAGGTGCATAATTTCAGGTTTCTAGGTTATTTCCTCTTGGAGCTGTTACGACAGCGGAGGTCATGTGATGCTGGAGATTCTAGAAGGATCATGACTGTTCCTGGCAACTCTAGTCTTTTCTAGGCATCCTCTATTTTAGTATATAAGCCCGGCAAATAAAGCGGAGATATAATTGCAGATAGGGAGATATAGAGACAGATAATCGAGTCAAGTCGTAAGTGAAGTGCGTGAATCGTTGTGAATTATTGCGTGTGTTTAAGTTAAAGTAACTGTGGAAATTAAGTGCATTGCAAACTTGTATTGAGAAAGAATAAACTAGTTTTATTTAAGAAAGGACTTGTATCACTGAAGTTCTCCGGAAATAATTTTACGGGAAATTAACAAACGATTAGAGACGTAGTAAATTGGTGTCAAAGGTGGGATTGATAAAAAAAAAAAGATGGAAAAGAGAAGTGCCAAATCAAACTACGACATGGCATATTTGATGGCAGCAATACAAGAACAGCAAAAGAAACAACAAGAGCGAGAAAATAAACAAGAAAAAAGACTACAGCAGTGGTTGGAGGAGAAAGAAAATAAACAAGAAGAGAGATTAAAGCAGTGGCAACTGGAAGAAGAAAGGAAACAAGAAGAAAGCCTCCAAAAGTTGCATGAAAGTCAGCAGCAACTACAGGAAAGTCAACAACAGTGGCAAGAAGTACAAATGGAAAACATTAGTAAATTTCAAAGTGAATTAAATACATTAAAGGATGATTTACTGTCTTTTACACAAGGAGGATATATTAGCCATCGGCCATCGACCTAATTAGCCTCAGACAAAGGGAAACTCCTTCGAGACCCCGCAGCTAAACCCTAATGCAGAAATCTTCAGTCCTGTCAGAAGTCACATTCCAGACATGAGTGTCAGCAATAGGGGTGATCTAGTACGAAGAAAGCCACATGAATTTCGATGGGAAGCATATAGAGCACAATTTGAGCTCCTGACAGAGATGAATGGATGGACAGAGGAGCAGAAAGCAGTATATCTGGCAACAAGCCTGAAGGGACAACCACTGGAAATACTTGGACAGTTGTCAGCAC